GGTAGAGCCCTCTGCCCCCGCGTGTGCCAAGCCCAGAGCTTCTGAGGGTTACAGGAGCCTTGCTGCCAGTCTTGTAGAGAGAAGGGGTCCTCCCAGTATTGCTCCCTGAGGTTGTAGGGGGGATCCTAATTCACTCAAAGACTATAGGTGGGACCATAACATGGGGACAGAGCCCCAGGGAGGCTTTGTGTCACGGTCTGCCTAGGATTGTGGAACGCCTTCGTCTGTATATACGTAGTGGGAGAGAGCGGAGAAGTGTGTTTTACCTTTGCAGATGGGCAACTGAGGCATGGACAAGTGAAATGTTTACGAGCATCCTGTGCTCTCCTGCCAGGGGAATTGCAAAGCAGTAGCTAAAACTCTCATTGCAAACAATGGCTTGGACCAGAGGATGCTGTGTGCGTTTGTTAAGTTCAGATTGTCTCTCATGCATCTCCTCAGCACTGCCACGGAGTAGTACACCTTTATACAATGCTAGGTTTCTCTCAGGTTTGCCCCAAGGCCACTTTGTTAAGCCAGGCCAGAGAAAAGGGCAGTTTTAGCTTTTCCTCGTTCTCATAACTGAACTGGATGGTAATGAGACCAGGGGCACGAGGGGTCAGGTGCTTTGAAAACAATTGAATCAGCAAGTGCCTGTTCAAAGGGCTGTTGTGGTGGCAAAGACATCCTCCATCTCAAAGCCAGCGAGCTGTGTAGCGCCGAGGAGAAGCCCCAGCAACCCAGGGAAGGAGGCTGGGAGGTACCGGGTAGAAGGCGCACAAAGGAGACAGTAATAGATGAAACCACTTGAGGTTAATTACACTGAAAAGCAATTGGCTCCACAAGGATGTCAGAGGCAGGGTGGGGGGAAAGCAGCATAAAAGGCAGGGGAGAGTGAACTCCTCATGACCTTGGAGCTGTACAGAGGCACGGCAGTTGGGGAACGTTGAGCCCGATCAATCGGCTCAGCAAGTCTAGGGATAACGATGCAGTCTTCACCTACAGGCAGAGGCATGGGGCAATAGCAGGAGAGGGCTTGGAACAAGGGGCAGGGGACGCACACACCCGGGTGGTTTTGTAGAAAAAAGTTTGCGTTGGCGTTTCAGTCTGATGTGGCTCCATTGATGGATCTCCCATCCTCTCAACCCGTGGGCCCGTCCGTCCTCCTTGACCGCTTGGATTCTGGTCAGGTTTTCACCCGGGGCCCCAAAAGGAGTCAGGTTGGGGCAACGTTTTTAGTCTCATCTCTGGTAACGGCATCCTTGACTGGCAGTGGGAGTTGGAGCTGGGTGACGGGTGACGAGCCCTGCTTGGAGAAGGAGGAACTTCATTCAAAAAAACAGATGCCTGTCCGATGCCTTGCCTTGGCTCTGGTGAGATGAAAAACAAGCAGCAGAGAGGGTAAAGGGCAATGGCAGAGGTGTCAGTCCCATGACAGTGAGGCCCAGCATCACTAAGCAGGGAGCTTGGGTTCAGGCCTCCTGGGCTGGTGGGATGGAAAAGGGCTGGCAGCTCTTTCAGTTGCTTAAATTGAAGCTCTGACACAGGTATCAAAAGCAGCTTGTGCAGAGCTCCCTGAACCAAAGGAGGGGGGTTATTGCACCTCGAGAGCCAGGATACAAAAGTAGGTGGGGCAGTAATGAGAGGCATCCTCACACCACCAACGGAGAGGGGGGATTTCTCTCCTTCCACCTCCTCACGTTCAGAGACCAGTCCCAAGCCAGGTTAGGACTAGGGCAGCAGCTTTTGTCTAGGGATCGCAAATGCTTCCCCAGCTCTGAGCAGCAAACACACCCCAGCCTGACTAATAAAGAGGAGCTGCTTTTTTAAACCTGGCTCAAAAAGCTGTGTTCCTGGTTCTTTAAAGCCACATATTGACAGCAAGGCTGAAGAGTTGCGGCTACTTCCTTCCCTCTCCATCCCCTTAGTCCTTGGGGTGCTGCCACAGCCAATATTGCACAGGACTATGGGACACTTACACCAGCCACTGTGCAAATCCCACCAAGCCTTAAGAGTCAGCACCTGCCACAGCTATCAGGACTCTTCCCATCACAAATGGAAGAGGCTCCTCACTGCTGGCTGTGTGGGTTTGCTATGCACCATCCCCAAAACCAGGACTCCATGTAGGTGGGCTGGCTGCACTGGATAGGGTGGGGTAGGTCTGGGGTTTGGGTGTGTGTGTCTTGGGATGAGGGTGATGGAAAGGGAAGGGATCAGAGTGTTTTCAGTGTGACCTGGGAGGAGCAGAAGGTAAAATCTGAGCCAGGAGGTGATGAAAGCCATGGTGGCTTTCAGACTCCCCCCCTACCCCACATTGATTTCCAATGATCCTGAAGTGCTTGATAAACTGCATGCAGATGGGAGACCTGCTGAAATGCAGCTGTGTCTGGGGTGGAGGCCAGCTGATACATGACACGCAGCTGGAGGAGAGATCTTTTGGCCAAAGCATGGGGCAGACTCACCTTCTTACAAACACCAGGCAGTCTGTAATGGCCCTGTGGAGTAGGCTGGAGCCTGGCAGGTAGTTCTCAGGATTTCACTGTTGGGGGGAAGTGGTGCTGTTCTTAGAGCCCAGACTCCTGGAGTCTTGTGATTGGGAGACTCGGAGCTTCCCTTGCTTTGATGTCTCAAGGAAGCCTCTAGCCTAGCCTCTTTGCAGAGAAATGTTTGAAAATGTGACTCTCAAAGGGTCATATCCCAGGAGGCAAATAAATGGACTGTGGTATGGTGTGGGGGGGCGGGCAGGCGAGTTAAACATTTGGAGTATTTAGGCGCTAACCTGCTTATTTGGAGGAGCTGACTTTTTGATTTTATTTTTCCCTATGTTTGGTGTCAGCAAGGCTGTTCTAAGCCAAGCCATGTGAAGCAGCCATCTTTTTTTTGTTCTTTCTTTCTTTTCTTTTTTTTGGCTATGCAAGAAGCAAATGGCTTATTTTGGCTTAATCCCCATGGAAAGGGGTGAGCATTTTGCATAGACACTGGGGGGGAGAAAATTAAACGGACAGATTTTTTTTTTCCCCCCAGCCCTGAAAGACCCTGTAGGAAGAGTCAAGTCTCTGAAGCAGGGAAGGGGGCTGGAGAGAGAGCATCGCACATGGTCTGAAACAACCTCATTTTGTTCGGCTTTGAAACCAACAAAACAAACTTCCAAGTGAAATTTTTTTTCAATGAGTTTTTTTTTTTTTTTACAGCAGCCAGAAGATGTATAAATAATGTGTGTGCAGGGGGAGGGAGTGGGTGGATGGGGAATGACAGAAATGTGTATGGAAG